ATTTATTAAAATGTATGCCATTCTAAACAGTAAGGTGAAATGAAATTGATTCTGAAAGGTTATCTGGAAAATGAAGTCTAATGATATTTAACTATATATCTAAGTTTTTAATAAATATTTTAATATTTTTTAAAAGGTTTTGTTAATACAGACTCATTTTTACCAGAGATAAAGAAGGTCGTTTTGTAATGATAAAAAGGTCAGTTCATCGAAAGGACGTAGTAATTCTAAATAGTTATGCCTTTAATAACAGAGCTTCAAAGTATGTGAAGCAAAAACTGATAGAACTGAAAAGAGAAATCAACAGATCTATAATTATAGTCAGAACTATAGTTTCAATACCACTCTGTTAATAATTGATTGAACAAGCGGACAAAATCTGCAAGGATATATAGATTTGAACAACACTAATAACCTTCTTGACCTCTGTCCAACAACAAAACACACATTCTGCTAAAATGCACATTGTATAATTATCAAATAGACTATATTCTTAGCCATAAAACTAATCTCAATAAACATAAAAGACTTCAAGTCATACACAGTATATCCTCTGAGCACAGTGTAATTAAGTTAGAAGTCAGTAACCGAAAGATTCTTGGAAAATTTCCAAGTACAAAATTTGGAAACTGAAAAACATACTTTAAATAGCCCATTGGGGAATTCCCTGGTGGCGCAGTGGTTGAGAGTCTGCCTGCCGATGCAGGGGACACGGGTTCGTGCCCCGGTCCGGGAAGATCCCACATGCCACGAAGCGGCTGGGCGTGAGCCATGGCCACTGAGCTTGCGCCTCCGGAGCCTGTGCTCCGCAGCGGGAGAGGCCACAACAATGAGAGGCCCACGTACCGCAACAACAACAACAACAAAAAATAGCCCATTGGTCAAAGAAAATAAGAAAGAGAAATTTAAAAATATTTTGAACTGAATAAGAAGAAAACATACCTGAACCTGTGGGATGCCACTAAAACATTTTTTTGGGGGGGGGGTGCATTTTAGCTCTAAATACCTACATTAGGAAAGAAGAAAGATCTCAAATCCATGGCCTCCTCTTCCACCGTAGGAAAGTAGAAGAAGAAGAGCAAATTAAAGTCTACATAGGGACTTCCCTGGTGGTCCAGTGTTTAAGACTCCGGGCTCCCAATGCAGGGAGCCTGGGTTGCATCCCTGGTCAGGGAATTAGATCCCACATGCTGCAACTAAGAGCCCACATGCCGCAACGAAGATCCCGCATGTGGCAACAAAGATCCTGTGTGCACACAACTAAGACCCAGCACAGGCAAATAAATAAATAAATATTTAAAAAAAAAAGTCTACATAAACAGAGGAAAGGAAGTAATAAAGTTCAAAGTAGAAATCAATGAAATAGAAAAGCAATAGAAAAAAACCAGTGAAACTGAAAGCTGGTTCTTAGAGAAGATCAATAAAATTGACAGTTTTCTAGCCAGACTGATCAGGATAAAAAGAGAGAAGACACAGACTTACTGATATCAAGAATGAGAGATGTGACATCACTACATAATCTACAGATACTAAAAGGATAATAAGGGAATATTATGAAGAATTTTATACAGTAAATTACATAACTTAGATGAAATGGACAAATTCCTTGCCATAGACTCAATGTGTATGCCCTCTCCCAATTCTTATGTTAAAACGTTATCCCCAGTGTGATGGTATTTGGAGGTAGGACTTTGGGAGGTGCTTTGGTCATGTGGGTGAAACCCTCGTGAATGGTATTAGTGCCTTTCCAAAAGAGCCTCCAGGAAGACCCCTTGTTCCTTTCCACCCTGTGAAGTTACAGTGAAAAGACAGCCCTCTATGAACTAGGAAGCCAGCCATCACTAGACACTGAATCTGCCAGTGCCTTGATCTTGGACTTCCTAGCCTCAAGAATTAAATTTTTTGTTGTTTATAAGTCACCCAACCTATGGTATAGCAGCCTGAATGGACTAAGACCTTCACAAACTATGAAAGTTTACTCAAGAAGAAATACATAATCTGAATTGCCCTGTGTGTTAAAGGAAATGAATTTATAGTTTAAAACCTACCCTCAGGGCTTCCCTGGTGGCGCAGTGGTTGGGAGTCCGCCTGCCAATGCAGGGGACGCGGGTTCGTGCCCCGGTCTGGGGGGATCCCACATGCCGTGGGGCGGCTGGGCCCGTGAGCCATGGCCGCTGAGCCTGCGCATCCGGAGCCTGTGATCCGCAATGGGAGAGGCCACAGCAGTGAGAGGCCCGCGTACCGCAAAAACAACAACAACAGCAACAAAAACCTACCCTCAAAGAAAACTCTAGACCCAGATAATTTCACAGGTGAATTCTATCAAACATTTAAGGAAGACATAATAACAATTCTATACAAACTCTTCGTGAAAATTGAAAGGGGGAAAGTCTTCCCGACTCATTCTGTGAGACTGACATTACCTTGATGTAAAAACCAGATAAAAGACATTACAAGAGGAAAAAAAAAACAAAACAAAACTATAGACCAGTATCCCTCATTAACATATATAAAATTTCAAACAAAATTTTAGTGAACAGAATCCAAGGATGTATGAAAAGGATAATGTATGCATGGAAAATAAGCACATGAAAAGGTGGTCAACATTATTAGTTATTAGAAAGATACAAATTAAAACTATAGCTAAGTATCACTGTAGACATAGTAGAATCTAGTTTAAATTAAAACGACTGACCTTATAGAGTGTTGGAGAGGATGTGGAACAGCGGCACTCTCATATACTGATGATAGGAATGTAAAACGGTATACTCACTCTAGAAAACTATTTGGCACTTTTTTAGAATTGCATATGCCTACCAGGTGACCTAGCCATTCCATCTTAGAATTTACCTAAGGTAAATGAAAGCATACGTGCACACGGCTTGTACATGGGTATTCATGATAGCTTTATAATAGCCCCAAACTGAAAATAACCGATATGTTTATTAACATGGGTGAATGGATAAACATTTTGTAGTATATTCAACAGTGGAATATTACTCAGCAATAAAAATGAATGAACTTGATATAAACAGTAACATGGATGAATCTCAGAATAATTACAGTGAGTGAAAGGAGCCAGACAAAAAAGAATATACTGTATGATGTCGTTTATATCAATTCTAGAAACTAATCTACAGTGACAGAAAGCAGGTCACTCCTTGCCTGGGGAGGGAGGGATGATGAAGGGGTACAAGAATATTTTGGATGTTGATGGATGTGTTCACCATCGTGATTGTGATATGGTTTCACAGGTGTATGCATTTGCGAAAACTTACCAAACTGTACACTTTAAAATATGTGCATTTTATTGTATGTAAGTTATACCTCAGTAAAGTTATTTAAAAAGCACGTAAAATCCATAGAAATATTTAAAATTCCAGGGACTTTCCTGGTGGTCCAGTGGGTAAGACGCTGTGTTCCCAATGCAGGGGGCCTGGGTTCGATCTCTGGTCGGGGAACTAGATCCTGCGTTCATGCCGCAACTAAGCGCCCGCATGCCGCAACTAAGACCCGGTGCAGCCTAAATTACTAAATAAATAAATAAATATTTAAAGAAAATAAAATTTCAAAAGCTTAATTTTATTTTTAGAGGTATTGAGTTTAAAGATAATAGAAATCTTGACTCAGTGTTCATATTCTCTAGGTTTCTACCATGTATTACCTAAGTCTCTTAATATGTATTTTTTTAAAAAAGAAACTGCTTTTTATTAATTAATCTATTAATTTATTTATTTATTTATTTATGGCTGTGTTGGGCCTTCGTTTCTGTGCAAGGGCTTTCTCTAGTTGCGGCAAGCGGGGGCCACTCTTCATCGCGATGCACGGGCCTTTCACTGTCGTGGCCTCTCCTGTTGCGGGGCACGGGCTCCAGACGCGCAGGCTCAGTAGTTGTGGCTCACGGGCCCAGCTGCTCCGCAGCATGTGGGATCTTCCCAGGCCAGGGCTCGAACCCGTGTCCCCTGCATTGGCTGGTAGATTCTCAACCACTGCGCCACCAGGGAGGCCCTGTTAATATGTATTTTGTATAACTTTGTCTTCTTTGGTTATGGTTTTTTATGCTCTGTCTGGTATCTATATATGAAATAGTTAATGACCCCTAAACTTACTTAGTTTACACAGTGTTTACATAAAGTTTTTTAACTATAGGGACAGACTCCTGATTGGATTAAGAGACTGGTTTAATTGTGCTTATTACTAGTACCTTTATCTTTTCTGTTAGACTTTGAATAATTCATGATGAACTCATTTCGTTTGTTTAAATGTGAAGTTCGCTCTAGGAATTCTGTAACTCAAAAGAGAATGACATTTAAAAAATAGTATGAATTTTGTTCATTATGTGCATTTTGCTGAAAGGAAAGCACCGCAGCCCACTTCTGATAGTTTGATTATCCTTAACAGGGCCTTAGGCACATAATAGGATCATAGTTGCATTACAAATGAATCGATGCCATAAACTTGTACTTCATACTAGGTAAAAGCTGACAAGATGATATCAAAACAAGCTTCTTGGGTTTCCCTGGTGGCGCAGTGGTTAAGAATCCGCCTGCCAGTGCAGGGGACACGGGTTCAAGCCTTGGTCTGGAAAGATCCCACGTGCCGCGGAGCAACTAAGCCTGTGTGCCACAACTAGTGAGCCTGTGCTGTAGAGCCTGTGAGCCACAAGTGCTGAACCCACGTGCCACAACTACTGAAGCCCACCTCAATGAGAAGCCTGCGCACTGCAACGAAGAGTAGCCCCGGCTCGCCACAACTAGAGAAAGCCCATGCGCAGCAATGAAGACCCAACGCGGCCAGAAATAAATAAATTTATTATTTTTTTTAGAAAACAAATATTTTTTTTAAAAAAACAGTCTTCTACAGAATAACAATTTGATTATAAATCCAACTGGGAAATGTGCCTGTTAATCACTTGTTAACTCAGGAGTATTTTAACTTAGTGAGTTAGGATAAAGCATTTTATTTAATTGATGTCTTTTTTTTTTCTTCCTCTCTTCTAGGATATATAGAAGCAGCCATGATAGAAGACAAAGGGCCAAGAGTGACTGACTACTTTGTTGTGGCAGGTCTCATTGATACATCTACTCTTTTGGATCAAGAAATAAATCGTTTAGATACTAAGTCTACTGGACCTAAAGCTCCAATTACAGATATTGCAGTTATTAACAAATCAGCTGGGGAAACAGTACCTGAGGGTTACACCTGTGTTGAAGCCACTCCGTCAGCTCTGCAGGCAAACTTGAACTACGGAAGTCTGAAAAGCCCAGAACTGTTCCTCTGTTATAAAAGAGGGAGAGATAAACCACCCCTTACTGACATTGGGTACGGTGACTTATTTTCTTTTGCTATAGTGAAGAGAATAAAATTTATTTAAGGTTCATGGCAATAGAAATTCAAAATCCTTGATAGTTCTATTATTATTTGTGACTTCAAAATCAAGTATAGTAAGATATATGTATCTCTGTCCATCCTTACTGAATTTCTCTGTATAGGATTGAGTCATTAGATTATTTCCTTTCAAAAGTATATTGAAATGAAGGCGTTAGAGCCTGAAATGTGATTTCATTTCTGTTTGTACATATCAGATAAGCTTATTAATTAAACATAAAAGAGCAAAAAGCTATAATAAAAGACAGTATATTTTTAAGGAGTTAGTTGGGTTACGCGATGAGCTTTTGTGAAGCTCTGAACTCATTTAACAAAGGAACATTCCTGTTTTAAAAGATACAATTGGGACTTCCCTGGCAGTCCAGTGGTTAAGACTCCCTGCTTCCACTGCAGGGGGCACGGGTTTGATCCCTGGTTGGGGAACTAAGATCCTGCATGCCGTGAGGCATGGCCACACACACACACAAAAGATGAAAAATACAATTGCACTGTGTGGTTTTTAATGCCAGGAGCAAAGCATTTATGGTTTAGAAGGAGTATAGTTGTTATGAGGTATTTAGTGTCTAGTCCACAGCCAATGAAGATCATTCTTCTGTGTAAAATCTTTTTCTCCAAAAATGTCTATGTTGACTCTTCTTTATATAAGATGTGCTTTTAGAATACCTGTAATACTTTACCATATATACATGTCATGTATTAAGCTCTTCTGCTCATTATAATTACCATCAGTTAGTACAAACATACGTATTTGAGAGCATCTTGGGAAATATTCAGGATCAATTTGTTCATTTATGCAAAACACGCAGTTGGAATTTTGATGGGTATTGCATTTAATCTGCGTATCAATTTGGGGGGAGTATTGCCATCTTTACCATATTAAGTCTTCCAAACTATATGAGTTTTCTTTACATTTATTCAGGTCTTATTTCTTTTAGCACTGTTTTATGGGTTTTAGTGTACAAGTCTTTCACCTCCTTAATTAATTTTTTAAAATATTTATTTATTTAATTTATTTGGTTGTGCTGGGTCTTAGTTGTGGCAGGTGGCCTCCTTAGTTGTGGCTCGCCCGGCTCCTTAGTTGTGGCATGCAGACTCTTAGTTGCAGCATGCATGTGGAATCTAGTTCCCTGACCAGGGATCAAACCTAGGCCCCCTGCATTGGGAGCACGGAGTCTTAACCACGGCACCACCAGAGAAGTCCCTCCTTAATTAATTTTATTAAGTATTTCATTCTTTTGGATTCTGTTATAAACGGGATTATTTTCTTAATTTCTTGTTCGGATTGTTCTTTTTTGGATGTGTGGCAACACAGGTGGGTTTTATCAACTTCATGTGTTAATCTTATACCCTGCAATTTTGCTGAATTTGTTAGCTCTAATAGCTTTCTTGTGGATTTTGGGGGGATTTTTTATTGTATAGGATCATGTCATTTGCAAATAGAGATAGTTTTATTCCTTCCTTTGCACTTTGATTTATCCCCCGCAGACACACCCCCCTTGTCTTATTGCTCTGGCTAGAACTTAACAGTATAGTGTTGAATAGCAGTGGTGAAAGCAGGCATCCTTTTCTCATTCCTGATCATAGGTGGAAGGCTTTCAGTCTTTCACCATTGAGTATGATGTAGCCATGGGTTTTTCATAAATGCTATTTATCATGTTAAGGAAGGTCCCTTCTATTGCTGGTTTTATGAGGGCTTTTACCATAAAAATGTGTTGGGTTTTGTCAATTGCCTCTTCTTTTTTAATTGATAATGATCATGTGGATTTTTCCTTCATTTTATTAATGTGATGTATTACATCGATTGCGTTTCTTAACATTGAGTCCCTCTTTTAATGTAACCATAATACCACACCTAAAAAATGATTAATTCTTGAATATCATCATATATCCAAATTACCCTGATTGCCCAACGAAATGTTTTTTTTTTAAAGAGTTGGTTGCTGGTGGTTCTGTTCATAGTTGTTCTGATATTAAGAACAGTAGTGAGCTGCTACATTTGACCACCACTTGTTTTGCTCATCATTTCTTTACTGTTCCAACAGAGCTCTGGTGAAATTGTCCCAAGGTCCTCATTATGTTCAAATTTCCAAAGCCAAAGGATGTTTTGTCCTTATCTTACTTTACTTTAACTCCTTTAGTATAGTACATATCACCCTATTTTCCTTCAAGTCAGTACAGTTGCAGTGGGGGTCATACAACTTTATAAGGTTAGTGGACATAAGAGCCAGTTTAGAAAGGACGGAGCATGATTGGGAATTGGAGTTATAGAGGCTTCTTTTTGAAAGCGTGACTTTAAGGGAAAGAGAAGATAGTTATGGGCCTTGCTATTTTGTCATGGTCCAGTATTGTCCATAGGGCCTGTGAGTGTGTTAGAGAGTCAGAATCTCAGGCACTGCCCTAGATCTACTGAATCTGTATTTTAACGAAATCCCCAGCAGCAGTGGTTTAGGATACCTGGAAGGTGAGGGGAAACAGAGTCCAGGGCTATTTTTTAACATTTCTCCCGGGAGAGAACCTTGAACATCTTTATATTGAAGGGAAGAAACCAATGGAGAAGGAAGGGTTGAAAATATAGGACTGAGAGGTTTTGCTGTCAGTTCTTTTATTTTCTCTGTGGTTTTCTTAAGAAGATAGGTAATATCCATAATAGGATGGGTATAGGATAAAAGTTTGATAATATTCATGTCAGTTGAAGGGAAACCAGCCCCAGGGACTTACTTGTGTTCCAGCCCTCACTGTTCTCTCTGTTAGCCATCCTTTAAAGGTTATCTGTTCACATCCTCATCCCCAGACCTCGCACCATATAGTTGTAATTAAAAGGGTATAAGTCTCTGAAAGATTGTTGTTCCTTGTGATTCAGGGGCATAACTTAAAAATGATGACTTAGATAATTATACTTAGATGCTTTCAGGTTGCAAGCGGCTCTTTCATTTATATCTTGCAGTTCCCTAAGGCTTCTAATTTCTGTTAACTGATCCAGGTTTGCTTGAGTGTGCGGTTGTCTTTTAGCTGATCATGGTGGTAAAGTTTCTCTCCAGGTCAAATAATTGTTAATATCTGGTGATTTGGTCTTTTCTTCCCTCTTTCCCCTCAATTAAGCATACTAGTGAGGTTTGGAAAAACCTGTTAGCCAGTATAAAGACAGGTACCCATCTCATTCAACTAAATATGAAACAGAGTTGTCAAACTTTTGACCTTTTAGACTGTTTTATAAACAAGATGAGATATTTATAAAAATAACAGTTTTTTTTTTCCTGGAAAAGATGTTAAGTTACAATATGTAAGATCTGATATTCCCTCATAATTTCAAATACTCCATAAAGTGTAATTTAATCAGGTCACTATATTATTGTATATGTCAGATGTGTTTTTTGAGATAAGGAATCACAGACTATACAAAGTTTTTATCTTCCTTCACTTATCAGATTGATTGACTTTCATATGAATTTTTTTCCAGCACTTTTGGTTTTTGAAATATTTCAAACATACGGAAAAGTTAACAGAATATTGTAATAAACACCAGTATCCTTTTCTCCTAAATGGTAAACTGTAGTATAATGAACAATATGCTATCCATCTAGATTCAACAAATTAACATTTTCCAATATTTTTGTTAAACTATTTGAAACGAGGCTGAAGCTATCATAACAATTCTCCTATGAATACTTCATCATGCATCCCTTAAGACATGTTCCTAATGACCATGGTATATAGAAAATTAATAATTCCATCATATTTTTCAGTGTCCACTCCCTAGCCAAATATTTGCAGTCGTCTCAAGAATGTTTATTTATAGCTTAAAAAAAAATCCAGGATCCTGTCGTGGCTTACCTGTTGTATTTGGTTATTTTACCTCTTTAGTCTGTTTTAGAACATTCCACAACATTTTTCTGTGATATATAGACATTTTGCAGAGTCTGGGCCACTTGTTTTATAGAATGCCCTACATTCTAGATTTATCTGATTGTTTCCTCATCAAGTCATTTAACTTGTTCCTTTATTGTCAGTATTTCCTGTAAACTGGATGTTAGGTTTAAAGTCTGGATTAAATGTACATTAAATATTTTTGGCAAGAATACTTACAGGTAGCGCTAGCATCAGGAAAGCATGTAGTGACAGATTGTCCCATAATTAGTGATGCTAAGTTCAGTCACTTGGTTAAAATGGTTAATTGCTTGCTATCTATTGTAAAGGCATTTTTATTTTTTCTGTTATTTAAGTAATTTGTGGAGTTGTGGGCATTGTTTAAATATCTTGTCCCCTAAAACCTTTTCACTTACTGTTTCCATTGGTCATTGCCTGAATTAGATCTTGTATGGGGGGATGTAAAATGAGACTTTTCTAACACTGTCATTTAAAAAATACATTTTTAATTGGCATTTTATTATAATGAAGAGCTTTCCTATTCTCTTGGCCTCATTTTTTTTTTTTTTTTTTTTTTATGTGGTACGCGGGCCTCTCACTGTTGTGGCCTCTCCCGTTGCGGAGCACAGGCTCCGGACGCGCAGGCTCCGGACGCGCAGGCTCAGCGGCCATGGCTCACGGGCCTAGCCGCTCCACAGCATGTGGGATCTTCCCGGACCGGGGCGCAAACCCGTGTCCCCTGCATCGGCAGGTGGACTCTCAACCACTGCGCCACCAGGGAAGCCCGTCATTTTTTTTAATGAGACAGATGTTTAAATTTTCTTTGAGTATAATTGAGGAACTGTGAATTTTAATTTATTCCGTTTGATAAAAATCAATTGCAATCCTTATTCTTTTTGCCCAAATTGTCCCAAGTTTGGCCAGTGGGAGCCCTTTCCAGCTGACTGCTATGTCAATCAAAATTTGGAGCTATGTGTATTCATTGTTACTGAGGTGTTTATTTTTTATATAAATAAATATATAAATCATGAGTTCATACTCATATTTCAACTTCAAATTTTAACATTAAAATCTTACTGAACTCATTTTGGATTGTATCTTGTTTCTCTTATGCTGAAAATCTTGGTTTCTAAATCATAAATATGTTACTTATTTATCTTATTTACATAAGGTAATCTCAAGTTATAGTATCAGTTTTACTACCAATAGTAATTCTGTTACTGAGTTCCTTGTCCCTAGAATAAAACCCATTAAGCATTTACAGAGTACTGTGTTAAAAAATTATATGAAATAGTTTTTCTATGTGGTTATATTACCAATTTGCTATGCAGTTAGGTTCATTTGTTCCTTTTTGTGTTTCATTTGTTTTAAAATTCTTTTAATATGGAAAATATTGTTGTGGTTCAAAACACATAAAAAGATATATTTAGAGAAGTATTGCTTCAGTTTCTGTTTCCTCTACTCCTTTCTCTATACTTTCTGCCCTCCCCTCTCCTGTTGTTTAGTTTCTGATTTATCCTTTCAGTGTGTGTTTTTACAGAAATAAACACATATGTGTGTATAGTTTTATTTCTTCCTCTTAAACAAAATGCAGATACTATGTACACTGTTTTATACTCTGTTTTTTCACCTAACACCATCTCCTGGGAACCACTCCATTTCTGAAAATGGAGATCTTTCTCACTTTTTTTTTTTTTTTTTTTATAGCTTTGTAACACTTATTTGTGTGGATGTATCATACTTTATTCAGCCAGCCTCTATTGATGGACATTTGGGTTCTTTCCTATCTTGTGCCCTTAAAGAATGCTTTGGTGAATAATGTTGTGCATATGTTGTTACATATTTGTGGAGTTATATTTTCAGGTAGATCCTAGAAAGGAATTGCTGAGTTAAAAGATACATACATGCATAATTTTGTTAAATGTTACCAAATTTCCCTCCATTGTGATTGTGCTATTTTATCCTACCATCATCACTGTATGTGAGTGCTTCTTTCCCCACAATGCCATCAACAAAGTATGTGACAAGATTTTTGAATTTTTGTCAGTCTCACAGTAGAGAAATGGTATGTCAGAATAATTTTAATGAGGTTAAGTATTTCTTCAGTGTTTAAGGACCGTTTTTTCTTTTGTGAACTGTTAATGTCCTTTGGCATTAACTGTTTGTTAATGTCTTTTTTAAAAACAGGTTTTTGATTAATTTATTCTTTTAAAATTCAGGATAGTGGTTTTCCTTAATGATATAGTGATTGGAAGGGAGAATAATGAGAACCATTGGTGACTGTCTGTTTTTTGGTCTGGAGCTGGTTATACAGGTTTGTACACTTTATGCCAATAAACTGAGCAATATGCTTAAGTAATAAAATAAAATAAAAACAGGTTTTTGGTCTTTTTCTGTTTTTTTTAAATGAGATTTTTATGTGTTAGGAAGATGAACTTTTTGTAAAAGAGTCACTGGATGTTTTCTCCAAGTTTATTAATTTATCTTTTTTTAAAATTGAAGTATAGTTGACTTACACTGTTATGTTAATTTATAAGGTATACAGTGTAGTGGTTGAATATTTATAGATTATACTCCATATAAAGTTATAAAATATTGATTATATTCCCTGTGCTGTACATTACAGCCTTGTAACTTATTACAAGTAGTTTGTATCTCTTAATCCCTTTTACCTATTTTACCCCTTCTCCATTCCTCTCCCCTTATAATTTGTCTTTTGACTTGATTTACAGCGTTTTTTTGTCATGTAAAGTTTATTTTATGAAGTTTATTTTCTTACTCTTTTATTGCCTCTAGATTTTGAGTCATAGTTACATTTTTCCTACTGCTAGGTTTTCTTTTAGTATGTTTTCATTCTTTACATTACATATGTGATCCACTGGGAGCCCTTATTGTGTGTAGTGTGAACTACAGATAGAATTTTGTTTGTTTATTTTTCCCAATGGCAATTTGCTTATTCAGGCACCGCTTATTAAATTAAAAAGTCCATCTTTCCCTCAGTGTATTGAAGTGTCACCTTTATCATATACTAGATTTCTGTTCATTGTTCTTTCTATTTACTCATTTGCCAATACTATTTTGATTTAAATATAGAGGCTTTATAGTGTTATATTTACTTGGGCTTTAACAACTTCATTGAGCTATAATTCACATATCGTACAATTCAGCCATCTAAAGTGTACAATTAAATGGTCTTTAGTATATTCACAGAGTTGTGTAGCCGCAGTCCATTTTAGAACATTTTCATCACTCTGAAAAGAAACCTTGTACCCTTAGCAGTCACTCTCCAATACTCTTTCCTACTCTCTAGTCCTAGGCAACTACTAAATTACTTTCTGTCTCTGTAGATATACCTGTTCTGGACATTTCATGTAAATGCAATCATACTATATGTGGTCTTTTTTGTCTGGCTTTTTTCACTTAATATGTTTACAAGGTTCATCCATGTTGTACCATGTATCAGTACTTCTTTGTTTTTATTGATCCATGATATTGTTACATGGCTATACTACAATCTACATATCCATTCATTAGTTGATGGACATTTGATTGTTTCCACTTTTTGGCTGTTGTGGATAATGATGTTATAAGCATTTGTGTACCAGTGTTTGCATAGATGTGTTTTCTTTTCTCTTGTGTATATACTGAGAAGAATCTATGTTTATTTTTCCTCTTGGGTCATGTGGAAAATCTATGTTTAACCCATTGAGGAACTGTCAGACTGTTTTCCAGAGCTGTTGATTTCCACCAGCATTGTATGAGGATTCCAATTTTTCTGACACTTGTTATTATCTGTCTTTTTTATTCTAGCCATTCCCATGAATGTGGAGTGGTATCTCATCGTGGTTTGATTTGTAGTTCCCTAATGGCTAATAGTATGTTCAAGATCTTTTTATGTGCTTTCGGACATTTGTATATCCTCTTTGGATAAATGTCTATTTAGATTCTTTGCCCATTAAAAACAAAGAAGGTGTTTTATTTTATTTTATTATTTATTTATTTTTTGCGGTACACGGGCCTCTCACTGTTGTGGCCTCTCCCGTTGTGGAGCACAGGCTCCGGACGTGCAGGCTCAGCGGCCATGGCTCACGGGCCCAGCCGCTCCGCAGCATGTGGGATCTTCCCGGACCGGGGCACGAACCCATGTCCCCTGCATCGACAGGCAGACTCTCAACCACTGCGCCACCAGGAAAGCCCAAGATGTTTTATTTTAAAATAATTTTACTTTTACAGAAGAATTGTAAAGATAGTACAGAGAATTCCTATATATCCTTAGCCAGTCCTGTGCCCATTTTTAAATGGTGTAATTTTTTATATTGATTTGTAAGATTTTTTTTTTTACATATTCTGGAAAGAATTTCCTAGTTAAATATATGATTTGAAAATATTTTCTCACAATCTGTGGTTATCATTTCACTTTCTTGATGGTATCATTTGTAGCACGGAAGTTATTAATTTTAATGAAGTCCAGTTTATCTGTTTTTCTTTTGTCACTTGTGCTTTTGGTGTCACATATAAAAAGGCTTAGTCTAACACAAGGCCACAAAGATTGATTTCTGTGTTTTTTTCTAGGAATTTTATAGTTTTAACTCTTACATTTAAGTGTTTGATCCATTTTTGGTTTTCTGGTGTGTAGTGTAAGGAAGGGGTCCAACTTTGTTCTTTTGCATTTGGATATCCAGTTGTCCCAGCACCATTTGTTGAAAAGATTATTCTTCTCCCATTGATTTATCTTGCAACTCTTGTCAAAATCAATTGACTGTAAGTGTATGGGTTTAAGTCCAGACTGTCCGCGTTATTCCATTGATTTATATGTTTATCCTTATTCTAGTACTGAACTGTACTGATGACTAGATTGGTAGTAAGTTTTGAAATGGGGGAGTGTGAATCCTCCAAGTCTGTTGTTGTTTTTCCAGATTGCTTTGGCCTATACTGGGTCCCTTGCATTTCCATATGAACTTTAGGATTTTGTTGCCTATTTCTAAAAAAGAAGGCAGCTAGGATTTAGATAGTAATTTGACATCTAACCAATATTGTCTTCTTATCTATGACCATGAGATGACTTTTTATTTATTAGCTCATCTCTTTAAACGGTGTTTTATAGTTTAAGTCGGGATTTTTTTTTTTTTTTTTTGCGATACGAGGGCCTCTCACTGCTGTGGCCCCTCCCATTGCGGAGCACAGGCTCTGGACGCGCAGGCTCAGCGGCCATGGCTCACGGGCCCAGCTGCTTCGCGGCATGTGGGATCCTCCCGGACTGGGGCACGAACCCTTGTCCCCTGCCTCGGCAGGTGGACTCTCAACCACTGCGCCACCAGGGAAGCCCAGTCAGGGGATTTTTAAAGGTGAAATTTTGACAGGAATTATGAACGTAAATTTTGTGAAAACACCTGAATACTAGATAAAACTTCTGAGAATTGACCTGAGGATGATTGTGGTATTGCCCCTTTTTTGTTTCATATGTTTCTTGTAATAAGCAATAAAATCAAGTTGTTTGATCCTATTTACACTTCTAAAATTGTATTCTAGCTGTTGAAAAATAGTAGGAGATTTATAATTCCCAAAGTAATTATTTTAGTTTTGGTTTGCAGTTAACATTTGGGAAACAAAAGGGGAGACCAAAAAAAATTTATTTTGTTCTCAAGGAGAAAACTAGCCTTAACCTGACATATGTTAACTTATCTATTTATTTCTTCCCTCCCTGCCATGCAGAGTTTTATATGATGGAAAAGAAAGACTAATTCCAGGATGTGAAGTGATCCAAGCCACACCCTATGGTCGCTGTGCCAATGTCAACAATAGTTCAACTACTTCACAAAGAATCTTTATCACTTATCGAAGGGCTCCTCTAATTCGACCCCAGAATTCGTTGGCTGTAACTGATATCTGTGTTATCGTAACCAGTAAGGGAGAAACCCTTCCTCATACCTTCTGCAAAGTTGACAAAAACTTAAATTGCGGAATGGTAAGAATAAAGTTTCATTTCCAAAATTTCATACGAAAATTAAAAAAAATTTTTTTGGACCTCTATTATTGGGCTTATTATTTACTCTCAGTTTATATTGTCATGATTTTTTTATTACTTTTAGCTCTCTAATTTTTATGGTTCATAATAACTTAAAAAAATCCTTAGCTACCTGATGTTTTAGAATAATTTCATCCAGAAAATAGATGCTTAAAGTCAGGGATTTTTTTTTTTTGATATGTGCTAATACATTACACTAATATACAGGTTTTGTTAGCTTTTGGGTTTTAGTGGTGTCTTCAAGGACAATTACAGGGAGATTGGGTCAAGACACCCTTTATATTTATTTATTTTAAATATTGTAGTTTTCGTATTTATTTTAAAAGGGCTCTACTGAAGAAGAAAATGCAACATATACATTTGATTTATAGTTTTATGACACTGAAGTTTACTGTTGGGTTATGTTTATTTTGAAAAACAACTTAAAGGAAACTAATATTAGCTTAAATGAGGTATAGGCAGAGATGACCCATGCACCCAAGGCTATTAGTCAAGACAGGTTTGCCTCTGGAGATAATGACTTCATAGCATCTAGTGACCCCAGTCTTCCCTAGTTTGGGCTCAGCACCCACGTTTTGTGCTGTTTTTTTCAAATAGAGGCAGCCTCTGCATGATTACAGAATTGTAAAATTTTTGAAACAATCTTTGCATCAGTTTAATTTTCGTGGCAATATTTTTTTGTTCCTTTTCTTCTAGTGTTTTCAGTTTCATGTTTTGCTGTATTGTATACTATATATAGTCTGTTTGATAAACATGTTTTAAATAGACTTCCTTGAGGAAATAATCAAAATCTTTAGAAGACATTCAACAAAATCAATTTATTATCACTCTTTTGTCTTTTTTTTAAACCTAATTTATATTTTACAGTGGGGTTCCAGTGTGTTTCTGTGTTATAAGAAGTCTGTGCCTGCTTCCAGTGCAATAGCATATAAAGCTGGTAAGTAAATGAAAAAAAAAGGTCTCTGTATTGTTGCACACTAACATTTGGTTAGAAGAGACAGTGTATGCTCCCTTATACAGTCTGTGGAATTGATCTATTCATAAATTGAATTATCTGTAACGTTAGCATGTAAAGGCATAAGTTTTCCTAAATACATTACATACTACAAGATACATTAGTATTTACCCCCACCAATAAAAATATACTGTTAATTAAATGGAAAATTTTATTCCAAACAAGCATTTGTGGAATAAACATTCAATTTTAGTCTACACTAATAGATTTAATAGTTGAGTGGAAAATATTTACTCTCTGACCTTTTATATTTTGGCAGTCAGAAAGGTGTCAAACTACATCTTTACTTCTTATATATTTCCTTCTCTTATCTCTGTGTGTCTGATTTGAAAGCACATGTTACTTGCCATGAAAGGTGGAGTTGCTTCCTTTCTCCCTTGTTGCAAAGAATCAGCTATATGGAAGAGAGGAGAACCTTTTCTGCCATGAAGTGTTTGAGAAATCTATCGCCACATTCTTAACTGCACAGTAAAGTGTCAAGGGCTGTAAAGATTTAAGTGTGACCTCTTCATCCCACTGGTATGGTGGGATAAAAACTGAAAATACAGGTATGCTCCAGTTGTAAATAGAAGAGATACTGGAATACTTCTTTGTGAAAAGAAGCAGTGTCAGTTACTTTTTATTGTGCACAATTTTTGGAATAAAGTTTTACTTCAGGGAAGTCAGGCAAATCCATATATGAGAAATCTTAATTGTCCTCATAAAGACATTCATACTAATGTATCAAACCATTTAATATAAAAATAAAGGCAACAATTAAGAGTTATAAATTTCAGTATCACTTTAAAATGTAATACTGTTAATATTGCTGTAATGTGTTGATTATATATGATTTCCTTAGAAGTTTTTTTTTTCTTTTTGGTGGTGAGAAAGTGTCACTTAAAGAAAACGTATAGAAACAAGTTTTGTGAAGGTGTTCAGGTATTTGATATAAGACATATTTTAGAATAAAGAATTTTGTAGACTGAATTTGGACTCAAAATTCTGCTACTGACTTTCAAGTGCTTAACCTAGAGGTGGTCTGTGTATTAGAGATATTAGAGGCTAATGAATTGATGCCATGTAGCTACTTTATTCTGGTCTTTGTTATGCTTCTCAGAGTGCCCCCTGCTCCTGCTTCCTTGATCTCGCAAACTCTGTACAGAAACAAGAGTTTCTGTCTCATTTACTTTTCATGTTACATTCATTTTACACTGCTGCTCTCTCAAGAAAAGTTTAGGGGCTGTGATAATTTCTGCTGCCTTGGCATTATTTCATAACACTTGTCCCTTCCCTGAATTTTTTTTTCTCCCCACAGAAGACTAACTGAAATAGTTGATAAATTTCCCTGTATGTTTCTTGCATTCTCTAAGATGTTGGCAGTATGTAGGGAAAATACGTTAAGATTAATGATCCTGTTGAATAGAGTTTTAACTAGTATATTTAATACATTTTAATGTTACAGTGAACTTTAAGTCCATGGGTAAAAATAAATGGTAGATTTGTTATTTATTTTAATTACTGATATGGCAAGAGAAAAATTGATCTTGAAATTTCACACAAATATTTCTGTAGAATGTGCTATTAAAATATCCTATTAATATGTAATATGTAAAATATCCTATTAATATGTATCCTATTAATATGTAATTAGTAACTATTTAAAAGTAACTATTTAAAAAAAATTATCGGGAGTTCCCTGGCAGTCCAGTGGTTAGGACTTGGCGCTTTCACTGCTTTGGGCCCGGGTTCAATCCCTGGTCAGGGAACTAAGATCCTGTAAGCCGTGTAGCACAGCCAAAGAATAAAAAATAAAAAAATAATAAATAGATAAATAAATATCATTATGTCCTTTCTCCAATAGGTTTAATTTTTAGGTATCCAGAAGAGGACTATGAGTCATTTCCGCTCTCGGAATCTGTCCCTCTCTTCTGCCTTCCGATGGGAGCTACAATTGAATGTTGGGATCCCCAAAGCAAATACCCGCTTCCAGTTTTTTCAACTTTTGTCCTCACAGGCTCTTCTGCTGAAAAGGTATATTTTTTCCTCTTTTATTAAACCTATTTTGTCCATGTTTTTAATCCATAAAATGATTAATATAAGTTTAATGTGAATGTTAGGATTATTTGGACACAATACATTTCTGTTTACATTTGTACTTCAATGCCCAAAGTGAGAAGTCTACATGAAACTTGGGATCAGGATGCTGATACCCCTGGAGTGTCTATAGGAGCACATATAAAGTCTCTGGAGAGATACCCTCAAAACCCAGGCCTCAAGAGGAGATGCTAGTGAAAGTTAGAAGACATAGGTACCATAGGAAGAATCAACAAGACACAGAGATGGATTACACCCTTAAGATATTGAAATGATAGAATAACAATATCAAAGATATTATAAATTGAATATATAATTGAGATGATTCAAGACCTAATAGAGGGGCTCAGAACATCAAGGAAAGAACAGGATATTTTGAAAAATGAGTAGACAGGTTGGAAAAAGAATCAAATGTCTAGAAATGAAAATATCCATAAAATTAAAAATGTAATGAATGGTTTAAACAGCAGATAAGTCATAAACGAAGGAAGAATTAATGAAGTGGAAAATAGGTTATCTTGAAAGTGGCACAGGAATACATAAGACATAAAAGGAGTTTAAAAATGCAGAGGATAGAATCAGATGGACCAACAGATATTTAATGAACCCCAGAAGGAGAGACTAGAAAAGGGAGAGACAGCATTTTAAGAGCTAGTGGTTGATTGAGAGTTTTCCAACATTGATGAAAAATTGAGTTTTTCAGGTTAAAGATACACTCTGAATCTTCAGCAGAAAAAAAATAAAAGTATAAAACCACCTGTTTTCATATTATAGTAAAATGATAGAATACCAAAGACAAAAAACAACCAGAAAGAAAAGACATACTTACTTATAAAGGTATAACTATTAATTGATGGCTAATTTCTCAACAACAACAGTGAGGGTCATAAGACAAATAATACATTAAAATTGAGGGAGTAAGTGAAGATAGTTTAAACAGTATGCAGAAAGCGCTAGTCATAAAAGAAAAGATGAATAATAGGACCTCACTGGAGTTAAGGACATCTGTTCATTCAAAGGTACCATTAAGAAGGTGGAAAAGCAGGCCCCAGGCTGGGAGAAAGTAATGTGATACTGTAGGTATTCCATAAGGGTCTTGTATTCAGAATATTTAAAGAACTTCTATATTGTCAGCAAGGATAAGAAATAACTCTGTGGCCCAACAGGTATACACCTGAGCATATCCCAAGAGAAATGAGTATATATATTCTCTAAAACACATGTATATTTATATACTTTATTGGTAATAGCCAAAAATTCAAAACATGTATAAACAGTAATAATAACATAGAATGATAATTTAAAATAAAAAAGAGATGGCAAAAAAGCAATATTAGGAAATAAAAAGTAAATAAAACTACAGATCTAGTAGAAATTTAAAAATTGAAAACTTTCTTAGGAAGTTTGATAGAATAGCCAATTTTATTGAAATGTGTAAGTAACCAAGGCTGGCTCTTACGGAGCAAACAAAAATACATCTGTGTCCTCATTCTCCAGTCTTCAAGTTTACAGCCACTGTACTGAAGACGATAATTAAGGTTAAGTGTCCAGCAGAGTGTCTGGAACATAGAAAATACTCACTAAATGGAAGGCCAGTACTATATTGACTGGATTGCTTACAAGTAAGCTAACTGTTTAGCTTAATAATCATTTATAGTTTCTTCCATTGAAAGCAATAAATATAAATGAATATTTTAATATCTTCAAACACTTAAGCATTACCAGAGTTACTTTGACCAGTAGAGAACAACAAATCCTCATTGTGATGCTTTTGACATATTGCTTGTTAAGAACCCCAGAGATGACTTTGAAATAATTGTATCTGAGAGTGTTATTTGTATCTGTAAAGACAAGGGTTAATGTGATATAACAGACACACATATATATGACATATATACATACACATATGTATATAGTGACTAAACAGTTAAAAGATTTATAAAAGTATCACTTAGCCATTTCCAGAGCGTTTTCATCACTCTAAACAGAAGTTTCTTCCACTCCTATCCTATGTCTCTCTTTTCTACTATCTGTCTCTACCAATTTGTCTATTCTAGGTAGCACATATAAATGGAATCATATAATATTTGTCTTTTTGTGTCTGGCTTATTTCACTTAGCGTAATGTTATCAAGGTTCATCCATGTTGCAGTATTTATCAGAATTTGATTCCTTGTTAAGGATGAATAATATTCTCTTGAGTGTATATATAGTCAGCCCACCGTATCCAGGGATGCCCAACCTGTGGATCCGGAGGGCCGACTGTACTACATCATTTTATATAAGGGACTTGAGCATTCATGGATCTTGGTATCCGCTTGGGGTCCTGGAATCAACCCCCCTCGAATACTGAGGGATGACTATACCACATTTTGTTTATCTGTTCGTCTGTTGATGGACATTTGGGTTGTTTCTCTTTTGGTTATTGTGAATAATGCTGTTATGAACACTGGTGTACAAGTATTTGTTTGAGTCCCTGCTTTCAACCCTTTTGGGTATATACCTAGGAGTGAAATTGCTGGATCACAGGGTAATTGTTTAACTTTTGGAGGAGCTGCCAAACTGTTTTCCCCCATAGCTGCACCATTTTACATTCCCATCAACAATGTTTGAGATTTTTTTTTTCATTTACCTGTCATATGCACTCTAAGCAAATACTTCTTTTGGAAAAAGAGAAAAAGAGAAAGTAATTTTTAAAAACGCTCAAATTTTACAATGGAATTTCTTTACTCTGTAGGTATATGGAGCTGCCATCCAGTTTTATGAACCTTACTCTCGAGAACTTCTAACAGAAAAACAGCTTATGCAGCTGGGCCTGTTGACACCTGTGGAGAGAAAAATGGTCTCCAAATCCATCAATTCAAACAAATGCATTTGTTTACTCTCACACTGGCCTTTTTTTGAAGCTTTTAGAAAATTTCTCATGTTTATCTACAAACTTTCTGTGTCTGGACCACATCCTCTTCCCATTGAAAAGTATGTATAATGATTTGAAGGATGTCTGGTGAAAAAATTGGATGTATATATGTACATTTCATTGTTTACCTGACTTCAAGCATCAGAGTTGAAAGGGAAGGAGAGTCACATTCTACTTTTTACTTGCTCCCTTCTTCACCTGAATCATTGACTCTGAATTTAAAATTGAGGAGTGGTGGTGAGGATGACCAGATAAAAATCTTCTGAGAATTCAGCTGAGGAAGAAACTTATATATATACATTATATTGTATGTGTTCTTCCTACTCATTCTTAAATAACCAAGAGAAAAATAGCTGTTGTTGCACACACACCCCAACTATCCAAATGACCATTGCAAGTTAAACATCTCTAAACTGATGTAGAAATTAATGGTGTTAATTGATGTTAATTGATTAATTGATGTTAAAAGTAAGGTTTTGGTTTTAGCATTGATAGAACTCTACATGCTTTCCCTTTGATTTGTAATTCTCTTCATCATGGAAATGTTTTGTAAGCAAGAAAAATAGATGTGGAACCACTGTCTTTTTAAAACCACATCTTTTCTGACTTCTAGTGGCATGTTGACTTGTTTATTATAGTAAATAACTCATGTATCCTGCTAACAAAGCAAGTCAAGATCTTTGGTGGAAATGTGTTATACTGTGTGTAAACAGATTTTTCTTAAACTTTGCAAAATTTCACATTATAGCAAAAAGATTATCAGTGAAGCATACTAGTTTAGTGGATAAGAGGGGGCCAGTTACCTGTAGGTTTTAAAGTAATGCTGCTCAAAAATCAACTTTATAAAATAGTAAAAGTACTATGCAGAAACACATCAAAATTTGGTGTAGCAATATGGTTTCAGCTTTCTTGTTGTATTACTGGAATGACAGTCTAATGGTTCATAATTCTAGATTTAACTTTCAGCTGTCAGATTAACTTAAAATTGATTGGAGTAAATTTAATGTTAATAATAAGTTAGCAGCCTTTTGAAAAATTAAGGTTCTGTGAAATTTGTGAAAAAAAAATCAGTGTATATCATCAATTCTTTTTTTTCAGTTGAAGTAATACTTTGCATTTAGTGGCTCCTAAGAGCTCAAAACTTTGGAAAGACTTGAGTTATTATGTATAGGTGGAGAAATAGGACAAGTGATTTGCCCGAAGTTATAGTGTAAGAACTATATTAATTTAATTAATATTATTAGATTGAATTCTGTATTAGTTTTGATTCATTATATCACAGTTAGTTGCTCCCCATACTGATACTGATAACCAGGGCAATAAATGTTAGCTTCTTTCATGAAAACTATATTCATGTTATTCTTATTTTCCTGGTGATAATAGGGTATATTAATCTGGACTTTTAATCAGGAAATACATTTTGCATTTTAGAAGTTGCATTCCACTCATAGTGGAATGAGTACATTTATTTACACTAAGTAAATTTATTTATTTATTTAGCTTAAGTTTTAGGTAAGTGGCTTTGTCAGGTCCAGGATGATGAATAATGGTATTTAAGATCTGTTAAAATCCATGAAGCATTTTAGAAAAGTAATTATCTTTATTTCAAAAATTTTTTCTAGGCACATTTCACATTTTATGCAAAACATCCCTTTTCCTTCACCACAAAGACCAAGAATCCTGGTACAGGTAATAAAAAACAGTATGTTTGAAGGGAGTGCTGCATATGTTCATTCCAGTCATTGCAATGTGGATGCTATGGCCCTTTTGGTTTGAGGCGGAGCAAGATGCATCCATGAAATCCTTGAATTTTCTGTATTTTATATCTTTAGCTAATATTCTTTTGTACTGTTTTTTTGAATTTTGGGTATACAGAATTGGAATAATTACAATACTTGGTTCATGACATCATCATTGGTTCATGTGTGGCCTTTATGTAGCCTACTTTAATAACGTAAAACCCAAAATTATGTTGAGGGCATGTTTTTAACATTCGAGTGACTAATAAATATCAAATGTGAAATTGGTTATAGTTGGAAGGCGGAAGTGAAGCAGTCTATGATAGTGTTGTTAAAGGACCAGTTTCTTTTTATTTCCAGTCAGTGGCAGACCTATATAAGTATATAGCTTGTGACGTAAGCAGCTTACCATATGAGATCAGTATAGACGTGAACAGGTCTATTCCCTGTCCAAAGACATGAGTTCACTGATAATGTACTTGGATATGAGAGCAGTGTCAGAGTGCCATGAAAGTTTCTAAATCGCTTTCTCTCTATATACTGTTCTTCCTGGACCAATAACAGTTTGCAGACTGATCTATAGAGGCAAGCTATTTAAACATTTTTTTCTAAGATGGTTATTAACATTATATGTGTTAGTCAAATATTGTTAATCTTGAATGTATTTCAGTTCAGCAAGTATTAATATATATTAAGCAATTGGCAAATAGAGAGTAAATAAATTGGAAGCTTTTAAAAAGCAGTTATTCCATAATTTTTAGACAGCTGTATTTTAATCAGTTAACTGAATCAAAATTCAGTTGAATTAACGATTTAATTTTAAAGAACTATATACTTCTAAGTAAATAACAGCTATTGTTTTATGTTTTAGTACATGTTTCCAAAACTATATCAGTCTGCCTATTAAACTATTTTCCATTTTACCCTTGATCTAAGTATTTAGGTTTCAAAATTGGCTTGGTTAATTTATCATTTTTTTTCTTTTTTTAAGCTATCAGTCCATGATGCGTTAATATTTTCACAACCAGTTTCTACACCTTTACCACTAAGGTAATTAATGGTATATAAAATAATACATTTGTTCACTTGGAGCAGAATGCTTTAAAATATTTTAAGGGTTAGTATAATAGAGTTGTGTTATCTTTACAAACTAAGAATAGCCTTAATGTTTCTAACTTTGATAGCTGGGGCCATTCAGCATTTTAAAAATGGAACACTTAAAGAAAGTTGCAAGATTGAATGTGGGGAATACCTCCCTTTTCCTCTCATCTCCCTTCCGCATATCCAGTTCCTTACTAAATGTTCAAGGTGAACTGATTTTACCTCCTAAAATGTCTTGAATCTATTGGCTTCTCTTCATCTGTGTCACTAGTCCAGGCTAGCATGATCTTTTACCTGGACTACTTCATTATGAGCCTCTTAATTGGCACTCTTTTGCTCTTGTCTTTCAGTTTTTTATCCACACTGCAGCCAGTGTTTCCTTCTGAGAATGCAAATATAAAATTGTTGGAGAATGCAAATATTTTTATTTTGGGCATAATCTCTTGTTGTTTTCATCCCCTCCTTTAATACGCTTTAGTCACAGTAGGTTTATTTCAATTTCTTGAACATGACAATTGCTTTTCCTTGCTTCAGGACCTTTGCAAATGTTGTCTCCCCACCAACCCCTACCTTCTTTCTTTAGAGCGTAGCTTAAATGGCTGTTCTTCAGGAAAATCTTTCCTGATAAACGCCCTTGTTGCCAAAGGATGAGTTTGAATCATTCTCCTATACCATCTTATTAAATTTGCTACTTTTCAGTGATAACTAAATCAGGACTTGAAATTAATATTAGATTTTCAATTTATTAATATTTAGGAAATAATTTAATAAATCATAGCACCTTTTGGTGAAATAGTTCATAATCACCTCTTTTTCTCTCCTTTTCTAGTGGAGCCAACTTTAGCACCTTGTTAATGAATCTGGGTCCTGAGAATTGTGCAACACTGCTGCTCTTTGTTTTACTTGAGAGCAAGATTTTGCTGCATTCTCTTAGGCCAGCTGTGTTGACTGGAGTAGCTGAAGCTGTTGTAGCTGTAAGTATAGAATTTTCTTTTTAGTGCAGAATTCTTGACAGAGAATTTTTACTCTAAAGGGAAATTTCCTTCAACCAAAGCTTTGAAATTACCACTAAATGTTTAACATAAATGTAGTAGGATGGCAAAGAGAAATACTAAATATAAAGGAAAAAAAGTGATTTCTATTGAGAGAATTTCAATTTCTAATTTTTCATATTTTAGAGTTCTTCAGAGAATCTATATGATTACATAATAATAGAATTTGTGAATGAAGCTTACTGTATTAAATGAGAAGCTCTGGTCAATTTCAGCTGCCCTAAAATTGTGGACATGAATTACATGACTAATTTCTCCCAATTTTAACTTTTAATCATTGTGAGCCAGTAATGTATAGGAATATCTAGGTGATTGTGAAATTGGATAATGTACAGATGTTTAGCTATTGTGAAAAGCATAAATAAAAGTTAAATCAAGTCCTGTTTTAAAACCTCTTGATGGCTTCCCATTGCAGTTAGAAGGAGGTCTGATCATGTAGGGCTTTATAGGTCATAATATAGAATTTTGGATGTTCTATTTCTCTAACTCTATTTTCCATTATTTGTTTAATTTAAAATAGCTGACTCTCCTCTCTTCCCTTCCCCATTTTACTCTCATGGAAGTAAGGATCTTTTTTAGGTCTCTTTTTTACTCCTGTGTCCTCAGCATTTATCACAGTTAAATAGCATGGAGTAAACACTCAATAAATACTTGTTAAATAAACAAATGGGATATGTCTCCAAGATATTAATCTGGTCAGAGAAATGCTGCTAGGACTGAAAACAGTAATAACCATTTGAGATGGTTTATGGAGGGCAAAGATCCTAATTATTTACTCATTTTCCAAGCCTCCACAGTTACATGTAAAAGCAAAAGTTGTTATAACATGAAAATATTTGTTAATGAACTGACCAGTTTTATAAAGTTCCCACTCAAATATTTCTTCCTATAAAACTTTGGGGATTATCCATGCCCCTCTGTCTGAATCTCTGTGGCCCAGTCTCTTGCAATGTGAAATCGGAAATCTTATTAAAATGCAAGATTGCATGAAATTTATGTAACCGATGTTGGAGAACAGCCTGAATTGCTTGCAAAACTATTGATAAATGAGGATTTGATAGTAAGGCAAATTACCATTTAAAGAGGAGAAAATTGAAAAGAATCCTGACAGTTTAAATTCCTCAAAAGGAGAGTGATTTGAATATCAAAGAATATTGAAGAGTTAATGGAGCCCCATAGCAAAAATTGATGGAACCAATGGGTATTCTTGTAAAATTGACATTGTTTATGATTGTGTGCAAAAGTCGAAGGTGAAGACAAGGGTGTCATATTTTGTCGTCCAGTAGTTTTATTCTGAAATTTCTTATGTAGTTAGAGGTGTAACGTACCTTTTGTTGAATGGTAGATAGTCAGTTTTCCCTGGAGGAAATCTGAAGTCCTTGCAAGGTCCTTTGCGAGTAGTTCTATCCCTCTGCTCTCTGATACCATTTTCTACTTCTCTCCCTCTTGCTCACTCTGCTCTAGCCACGCTGGCCTCTTTGCTACCCCTGGCACATACTAGGCAGTCCCCACACCTTAAGGCCTTTGCTCTAGCTGTTCCTTTTCTTCGAAGCGCTCTTCTCCTAGTTATCCCCTTGACTAAAACCCTCACCTCCTTCAAGTTTCAGCTCAGTGTCACTTTCTTATTGAAGCCTACCCTGTTTGGCCTATTTAATAATACAGTCTGCTTTCCCCCTCTCCTCTCTCATGTTCTAAACTCTAATCGCCTTTACTTGGCTTTACTTTTTCTTTTTTTCGTAGCACTTAGCACTCTCTCACATGGTATATGTTTTATTTATTATCTTCTTTTTGTTTTCTCTCTTCCTGCTAGACTAGGTGTTGGCAGACTGTGGCCTGTGAGTCAAATCCTGGCTGCCACTTGTTTTTGTAAATAAAATTTTACTGGAACATAGGCCATTTATTTACATAATGCCTATGACTGCTTTCATACATGAAGACAGAGTTACGTATTTGTGACAGAGACAATATGGCTTGCAAGGCATAAAATATTCTTATCTTTTACAGAAAAAGTTTGCTGGCTCTTATGCCACACTGTACATTTCATGAGGGCAGGATCTTTGTTTCATTCACTGTTACAGCCCCATCATCTAGAACAGTTCTTGGTACATATTAAGTGCTCAGCTACTAGAAAGGAAATAAATGATTGAAGACAGAATTCCAGTTCTGTATAACCATCTGGAATAACTGGCAGAGGTAGTAAATGCTATAGATAATTATTTGGGGTGAGTACTGATGGGTAAGGTAAGAATTGAACTAGATCTTGAAATATAGCAAGGATTTTTGTAGTAGAGGAAAGATTTTGTCATCAATGATTAAAATTATAATATTGATTATTAAAATTTTAATTTTTTTTTTTTTACTTATCAAAACTTGTCTTTTTTCCCTTTTAAAAAGAACACATTGATACAATTAAGGTAGAGCTTTATAAAGGAAAGCTGGTAAAGATTGTTGAGGTATGTTTTATATTGACTAATATTTTTAAGATGCCAAGATTCACTGAAGTTGGATAATATTATGTTTATTTGGGCAGTTACAAAATTTTTTTGGTTGAAATTTTTAGTTGACTATTACTCTTCCCAAGAGAATCATTTAAATTTTTTTAGTTCTTGGTGTTCTTAGTTGGATTTTAGTCAAAGGTTATCTTGAAAATTAACATGAATGAAATGCGTCAGAGTTAAAGATCATGAGTTTGTTTTATAAAATTTTGGGCTATTTTTTCTCCTCTTTCACTTTCTCCATAAAATGGGAATGTGGATTTTCTATAGGCATTAGAAGAATTAACATGCAAAGAGCTGTTAGCATTTTAATTGTGCTTATGATCACTGTCATTCCTGAAGATTTTAATCACATTGGTTCATAGTATTGCCTATCAGTGTTTTATAGTCATTTAGATTTTGGAATGAAGTTTGATATAGTCATTTAGTTTTTGGAATGAAACTAGACTTAAATGCTCTGTAATGGTCCCTTTCAGTAGTATTAGTTAATTACTAATTCTCATTGCAAATTTAAAACTTGGTTAATTTTTTAAAACTTTTTTTCCCAGATGATCTTTCCATTTCAGTGGCAATGCCCATATATTCCCCTTTGTCCTCTTTCACTGGCAGCCGTGCTTAGTGCACCTTTACCATTTATAGTTGGAGTTGACTCAAGGTATTTTGATCTTCATGACCCACCACAAGATGTTGTTTGCATTGACTTGGATACAAACATGTTATATATGTAAGTTGATTCTTTTTATATTATCTCCATTTATATTTTTCCCCACATGTAGTTATAGCTCATTGAAAGCATATACAAATATGCTACTTTTAAAAGTTGGTAATAAGTCTTCAGATTCAATACAATGATTCTCAATCAGGACAGGTATCAGAATCCTGGAATGTTGTGTGATTTGAAAAAGATTGTGTTCAATATTATAATAGTTTATATTGGATAATAATGTTAACAGTAGGCAGGAGATATTTATGTTTATCAGAAGAGAATATGGATTATTAAAAAAAAAAAGGTTAAAAACACTGCTTTCAGAGCTCAAGAGATGATATGCTATCTAGGTTTAATTCAAAATCCGTGTGTAAGTTCTTAAAAAATGGGCTTACCTGTTTGAGTTTAGTCACAATATAGGGTAATATGCTGTTTTCTTAGTTGTCAAGATTTGAATTTTATAGGGATTACAGAGAAATTGATATTAAAAATCAGTCAGAGTTTGTGCTTACTGGAGGTGATAAATATGTATAGCAGTGGTGTAACTGAGGGTTCAGAGAGTAGAGCACCACACTAATAAAAGAAGATTCATCCATCCAGTTCTAGATGGATGTTTAGGAGCGCCCTCTGCATCCCCACCCTCACAAAAACAACAAACAACATGGGTAAAGGGCAGTAAGTATTGAAACTTCCCTAGTATTAGTGCTAAATTCCAGGTCCTGGAGTGCTTTTATTCTTTACTGTTTGATACTGGCAGAAAATGAATAGAGTAAGAATTTGGGATGAGACTTCAATGGTTACAGCAGTAGAATTGGTTGGGAAAATAGCCTTGAGTGAACCAGAAGAATAACTTAAGGAAGGAAGAAAACATTTAATGTACCTTAAAAAATAATTTTGAAATGGATCTACCATTGTATTTTGAAAACTGTGTAATTGTGGTAGCTCTTTACTATGTTTGTTTGTTTATTTATTTGGGTTTTCAGTACTTTAAAAAAATTGAAGTATAGTTGATTTATAATATTGTACTATTTTCAGGTGCACAGCATAGTGATTCAGTATTTTTACAGATTATATTCCAATAAAAGTTATTAAAAGGTAATGGCAATAATTCCCTGTGCTATGCAGTATATCCTTGTTGCTTATTTATTTTATACATAGTAGTTTGTATCTCTTAATCCTATACTCCTATCTTGCTCCTCCCCGCTTTCCTCTCTTCACTGTTAACCATTAGTTTGTTTTCCATATCTGTGAGTCTGTTTCTGTTTTGCTGTACTCATTTTTTTTTATATTTTAGATTCTACATATAAGTGATATCACACAGTATTTATCTTTCTCTGCCTAATTTCACTAAGCATAATATTCTCTAGGTCCATCCATGATGCTGCAAATGGCAGAATTTCATTCTTTTTTATGGTCGAGTACTATTTTATTGTGTGTGTGTGTGTGTGTGTGTATATATATATATATATATATAGTCTTTATTCATTCATCTGTTGATGGACACTTGGGTTGCTTCCATGTCTTGGCAATTGTAAATAGTGCTGCTATGAACAATCAGGTGCATGTATCTTTTCGAATTAGTGCTTTCATTTTTTCTGGATATATTATATACCCAGGAGTGGAATTGCTGGATCATATGGTAGTTCTATTTTTAGTTTTTTGCGGAACCTCCGTACTGTTTTCCATAGTGGCTGCACCAGTTTACATTTCCACCAACAGTGTATTAGGGTTCCCTTTTCTCCATATCCTCGCCAACATTTAGTTTATGTTGTCTTTTTGCTGAGAGCCATTCTGACAGGTGTGAGGTGATATTTCACCGTTGTTTTGATTTGCATTTCTGTAGTAACTAGTGATGTTGAGCATCTTTTAATGTGCCTGTTAGCCATCTGTATGCCTTCTTTGGAAAAATGTATTTTCAGGTTTTCTGCCCATTTTTTGATTGTATTGTTTGCTTTTTTGATAATGAGTTATATGAGCTGTTTGTATGTTTTGGATATTAACCCCTTGTTGGTCGCATCATTTGCAAATATTTTCTCCGATTCCATAGGTTGTCTTTTTGATTTGTTGATGGCTTCCTTTGCTGTGCAAAAGCTTTTAAATTTAATTAGGTCCCATTTGTTAATTTTTGCTTTTATTTATTTTGCCTTAGGGGACAGATCCAAAAATACTGCTATGATTTATGTCAAAGAGTGTCTTGCCTATGTTCTCTTCTAGGAGTTTTATGGTTTCAGATCGTCTGTTTAGGTCTTTAATCCATTTTGAGTTTATTTTTGTATATGGTGTGAGGGAATGTTCTAATCTCATTGTTTTACCTGTAGCTGTCCAGTTTTCCCAGCACCACTTATTGAAAAAACTGTCTTTTCTCCATTGTATATTCTTGCTTCCTTTGTCATAGATTAATTGATTGTAGGTGCGTGGGTTTATTTCTGGGCTCTCTGTTTAGTTCGGTTGATCTATGTGTCTGTGTTTTGCCAGACACAAAACATGCTGTTGCTGTTTTGATTACTGTAACTTTGTAGTATAGTCTGAAGTCTGGGATGGTGATACCTCCAGCTTTGTTCTTTTTCCTCAGGATTGCTTTTGTAATTTGTGGTCTTTTGTGGTTCTTCATGAATTTTAGGATTATTTGTTCTATTTCTTTGAAAAATGTCATGAGTATTTTGATAGGGATTGCATGATTGCTTGGGGAGGTATTGGTCATTTTAACAATATTAATTCTTACAATTCCAGAAGAGCAAGGGGCATCTTTGCATTTCTTTGTATCATCTTTATTTTCCTTCATCTGAGTTTTCAGAGTGTAGGTCTTTCACCTTAGTTAAGTTTATTCCTGGGTATTTTATTCTTTTTGATACAATTTCAAATGGGATTTTTTTTTTTTTTTACTTTCCCTTTCTGATAGTTCATTATTATTGTAGAGAAAAGCAACAGATTTCTTTATATTAATCTTATATCCTGCAACTTTGCTGAATTCGTTTATTAGTTCTAATAGTTTTTGTGTGGTGACTTTAGGGTTTTCTTCATTTTTTTAAAAATTGAAGTATAGTTGATTTACAGCTCTACAGCCAAGTGATCAGTTATACACATACAGACATTCTTTTTTTGTGTTCTTTTCCACTGTTGTTTATCACAGGATGTTGAATATAGTTCCCTGTGCTATACAATAGGACCTGTTGTTTATCCATTCTAAATGTAATAGTTTGTGTCTGCCAACCCCAAACTCACAGTCCTTCCTCTCCCTCCCCTCTTGGCAACCAGAAATCTGTTCTCTGTGTCTAGGAGTGTGTTTCTGTTTTGTAGATAAGTTTGTTTGTGTCATGTTTTAGATTCTAGAGTTTTCTATGTAAAGTATCATGTCATCTCTAAATAGTAACAGTTTGACTTCTTCCCTTCCAATTTGGATGCTTAATTTAACGGGAAGGCTTTCAGCTTTTCACCATTGAGCATGATGTTAGCTGTGCATTTGTCACATATGGTCTTTATTATGTTGAGATATGTTCTCTCTGTACCCACTTTGATGAGAATTTTTATGATGAATGGATGTTGAATTTTGTCAATTGCTTTTTGAGTGTCTGTTGAGATGATCATGTGTTTTTTGTCTTTCCTTTTGTTAATGTGGTGTATCACATTGATTTTACATATTTTGAACCATCCTTGTGTCCCTGGAATAAGTCCAACTTGATCATGTGTATGATCCTTTTTATATATTGTTGGATTTGGTTTGTTAATATTTTGATGAGGATTTTTGCATCTATATTCATCAAAGATACTGGCCTGTAATTGTCTTTTTTTGTAGTGTTTTTGGTTTTAGTACCAGGGTAAAGGTGGCCTTGTAGAATGAATTTGGGAGTGTTTCATCCTCTTTAATAATTTGGAATAGTTTTAGAAGGGTAGGTATTAACTCTTCGTTATATGTTTGGTAGAATTCCCCTGTGAAGCAGTCTGGTTCTGGACTTTGTTGGCTGGGAGTTTTTTTTTAATTACAAATTCAATTTTACTGCTAGTGATTGGTTTGTTCAAAGTGTCTGTTTCTTCTTGATTCATTCTTGGCAAGTTTTGTGTCTAGAAGTTTATCCATTTATTCTAGGTTGCCCAATTTGTTGGCATATAAGTTTTCTTAGTATTCTTTTACTTTTTTTTTTTTATACTTCCATGGTGTTGGTTGTTATTTTTCCTTTTTTCATTTCTTATTTTTTTTAATTTGGGTTGTCTTTTTTCTTCTTGGTGAGCCTGACTAAAGGCTTATCAATTTTTTTTTCTTTTTTCAAAAAACCAGCTCTTGGTTTCATTGATCTTTTCTATTTTTTTAAATCTCTTTCTTATTTATTTTCTCCCTGAGCTTTATTATTTCCTTTCTTCTGCTGACTTTGGCCTTTGTTTGTTCTTCTTTTTCTAATTCTTTTAGGTGGTAGGTTATGTTGTTTGAGATTTTTTTTGTTTCTTGGGGAAGGTCTGTATTGCTGTAAACTTCCCTCTTAGAACTGCTTTTTCTGCATCCCATAGATTTTGGAGTGTAGTGTTTTCATTTGTCTTGAGGTATTTTCTGATTTCCTCTTTGATTCCTTTATTGACCTGTTGGTTTTTTTAGTAGCATGTTTTTAGTCTCTGCACATTTGTTCTTTTCTTGTTTTCTTTCTGTAGTTAATTTCTAGTTTCATACCATTGTGGTTGGAAAAAATAGTTGATAAAATAATTTCTATCCTCTTAAATTTGTTAAGACTTGTTTTGTGGCCTAGCACGTGATCTATCCTGGAGCACGTTCCATGTGCACTTGAAAAGAATGTTAATGATGCTGGTTTTGAATGTAAATGTCCAGTAGATATCTATTAAGTCCAGCTGGTCTGTTGTGTCATCTTAGACTGCTCTTGCATTATTGACTGTCCATTGATGTAAGTGGGGTTTTAAAGTACCCTACTATTACTGTATTAGTGTCAATTTCTACCTTTGTGTCTGTTAGTATTTGCTTTATATGTTTAGGTGCTCCTGGGTGCACGTATGTTGAGTGTAATATCATTTTCTTG